GTCCAAGTTTGCTTAAGCCAGTGTGGTTTGGTAATCTCAGCTGACAAATATTTATTGAGTACTCATGCACTTTGAGCTGGACAAAGAACAAGGTCACACAGGTTATTGAAGACCTGTATCGACACGTGGTTTGTCAACCAGAGGCAAGGAGAATACATATGAGCCGATTAACAATAACAGCAAACCTCTGTCTTAACTGGCGCATGCACCACAAAGTCAAAAGCAAGTTCGTAACTAGGGGGACATACAAGAAAAACAGCTAGAGAAGTCCGAGAGTGTTTTGAAAAGCAGGCAGGATTTGACAGCGGTAAACGGGTCCTTAGGTTAGTTAATAAGACAAGGTTTAATCCAGTAGCTTTGGGGTGGGAGCACAAACTAGTTCAACACAAGTAGTGTTTTCTGGGCACCTACTATGTGCCAGACACTGGGATTTAGTGCTGTGGAGTGGGGAGGCTTTCTAGAAGATCCTGATATAGCAGGCTGAGTCCAGGATGCCCCTTGTATACCAACTCCCACAAATGCTCAAGTCTTTTATATAAAACGACAGGTTTTTGCACATGAGTTGCACATATTCAGTTTTTCCCTGTGTACTTTAAATCATCTCTAGGTTACTTACAATAGCGAATACAATGTAAGTGCTATGCAAATAGCTTTTGTTTGCTATGACAAGGAAAAAAAGTCTGCATATGCTCAGTACTGATTTTTTTCTATTTTTGTATACTTATTTATCTTGAGACGGGGTCTTATTAGATAGCGTAGGCTGTCCTCAAACTTGTGATCCTCCTGCCTCAGACTCACTAGTATATGTATACATATATATTTTTTTTCAATCTCTAGTAGTTTGAACCCATGGATGTGGGTCCCAGGAATGTGTAGGGCTATGTGCACAGCCTTCTCACTCAAGCGAACTGAGAATGTAATGGCGTCAGTTGCATGGAGCTACAGCATGCAGGAGTCTCCATTCAGTTTGCAGGCTTTAAGAATGAAAGTGTGGGATGGACAGAGGCTTGAAAACTGGTGTTTTGTAGAATTGCCTCAGATTACAGAGGGAAGCACTAACTGTGTGGCAGGAAGGCTCCAGAACATTCCTGGCTAGAGTGGGAGAGGTATTACTCATGCCTGCAAACCAGCCTGCTGGAACCCAAATCCCTAAGGGCGTGTCCTCTGAATCTGTCAGTGTGATAGCTTAGACAAAGTGATTCCCATCCTTTTTATTCCTTGGCATCAAGGCCCGTGGAGAATGTGGGCTCACATTTAAAATCCTCCTGCCTCTCCAGCCAGCCCCTGAAACTTGAGAGGATAAAGTACTGCTTGTTTGGAGCCCATGCCTGCTAGTCTTCCCAGGAAGGTTCACTAGCATTGACTGCTAAAACCAAGCTTTATTTTTAGCAAAAATCTAATTGAAACCAACATAGCAAGGGAAACATTTTTTATAATTCCTCTGAGAGACAAACATCCAATTTGATCATTAAAAGTAGGATAATAATGCATGCCACCAGTTCCAAAGTTAAACTTTGTTTAGAGGCTACTAGTCTGAGATACTGGTGGTAAAATAACCAATTAACTAAAAACCACTTTTAAAAATTCCATGTCTGCTTTATCTGCAGTTCATGCAAGTGACTCCTTTGGCAGGATTAGATGAATTTTAATAGTAACCTCTTACTGAAGAGCTGAGAAGCTGTGGAACTGGGGTATTTGGTGACTGGTCCCTCTCCACATTAAGCCTATGCTTTCCTGTCATCAAGTGCCTGTAATACAGGAAAAAGTGCTCTTGTGGGTTTATCTGTATTTGTCATTAAACTTTGCTAAGCCAGGAAGCCTGAAAAGTGGGCTTGCTGTGGGCTCTTGCCCTTGGCAGATAAGCCCCACAGGCCCGGCTCCACACAGGTTGCCTTGCCGGGCATCAGTGTGGGTCTGTTCTGTACAGAAATCCCTGGACTTCCCTGTCATCTTGGGAGCACGCATCTGTACTGAGAAAGCCAAGCTTGGCCAAGCCTGTGAGTGTCTGGTGTGTCTTAATGGGTCTCTAAGCGATGATTTAGCCCAGTGTCCTAATACCTGGCTTTATGTTTCCAAGAAAGCCTGTGAGTGTTCTGTAGCTTAGCGTTCTCCGTCCAGGAATCTCATTTGTGACAGAAGGAATGTCTCAGATGGTTTATTAGCTTGGGACAAGAGATACTCGGACAAGTGGAGTGGAGTGGAATGAACAAAGTCTATGCCAGAAGGTGGACGACTTTTACAAGATTAGGTCGCATGAATTTCCTTGGGGGGCAGGAGTGTGTGTGTGGTCAGCCCTTGATGTCGTGCAAGTTGCTGAAGTGTCGTGCATGAGGGGTGGCTAGACAGGAGGATCCAGAGCACAGCATGAGGGGTTCCAGTCCCTGGTGAAGGATGTGCAGAGCTCGAACAGTAGACAAAGCGGCAGCCTTTTTCCGATCCGACCATCCTGAGTTGCTTTGTCTTTCTTTTCTCAGAGAGCAGAGCTGACATCTGATAAGGACATGTACCTTGACAACAGCTCCATTGAAGAAGCGTCAGGAGTATACCCTATTGATGATGATGACTATTCTTCTGCCTCTGGCTCAGGTAAACCTGCCTGCTGGATACCGTTCTCTGTGCCTGGGCATGCGCGGAGTGTGTCAAAGTCACAAGCATAATTTTGGGGTGCAAATTCTAGTTTTTTGCAACGTAAGCTATGAGATCTTGGGAATTTAAGTCTCAGTTTCCTCGGTTACAAAATAGGAATAAATATTTAATTATACATAATATTTTATGTACATTATATATTTAAGTGTTTGTTTTTTATATAATTTTTAATTTAAATTAGAAACTAATTTGCTTCAGGTGTCAATCCCAGCTCCCTCTCCTTCCCCTCCTCCCTTGCCCCTCCACCAGATCCCCAGCCCCCACCCAATCCCCAAATATCTGTATTTTTATATATTCATAAGTAAATAGTTCCAGGTATTTGCTACATAAAGTGTTTTTTAGGGATTAAGGAAGTTGAGATGTTAGCCTTAAATTTGATTGTTAAGATTTTCAGAGTATGGTGATAGAAACTACCCTTTAAGAAATCCTGCCAATATCAGTTTCATAAAATGCCTGTTCTATGTTAAGATTATACTCGAAACTGAAACTTATAGGCTTTTACTTATATCACTCATCAGTAGGAGGAACAGTGTAGCAGCCGTGTAATATAAAGGTAGCTTTGTATATTTGACTCCATTAGTGTATTAGTTATCTGTTGCCTCTGCAATGCTGCCTAACAAACCATTCCAACACTCAATAGCTCGCAGCAATAGGCATTTACTTAATTCATTGTTCTGCAGGTTTGCCATTTAAGGCTGGCCGCTCACGTGTTTGCAGCCGAAGCTTGGCAGATTTTTGGCTTAGCCCTGTCATGTGTCTGGGAAAACTGAGCAGACTTGGCCTTAGTCCACATGACCTTTCATTCTCCATGTGGCCAGCCATTTGTTCACAGAGTGAAGTAGAAATCTAATCCTAGACTTAGAGCTTGGCACAGCATCGTGTGTGTGTGTGTGTGTGTGTGTGTGTGTGTGTGTGTGTGTGTGTGTGTGGCAGTGCCAGGAATCAAAACCAGTATATTTATTGGCTCTATTATTCTTGTGACCAGTATATTAGCTTTATTATTCCTGTGACCAGGTCCCTAATAGAAGTGCCACAAGGGAGGAAGGATCTATTGTGGCTCGTGGTTTCAGAGGATTTGTTTGACCCCATGTGCCTATGTGGAACATGGCAATTGGTATATTTAATGGAGGAGGCCCTTCGCTTCATAGTTGACAGGAAGCAGATGATGTGGAAGGCAATGCTGACTATGTATAACCTCCCAAGGCAAGCCCTGTTACCAACATCCCCTGCCTTCTAAAGTTTGTACCGCCTTGCAAAATAGCACCACTAGGTAGGGACCAACTGTCCAATGCAAGAATCTGTGGGGGCACATCCCATATTCAAACTATAACGCCCAGGGTCCCATGCATGCATACCACTGAGCAATGTTCCCAGCCCTAAGTTGCATCTCTTAGTGGAGGGAGCTATCATCACATTGCAGAGGATTCGGGTACAAGGAGGAGTAAATGAGCTTGGGCACTTCCCCCACTATATCTTACCTGGAAATGCTTTGCCTGTGCCAGGAATGGCTCCCAAGAAGTCGAGAAAAAGGAAGACCTAAGCAGGTAGTTAGTGGATAAGCCAGCAGTATCTGGCTGGTAGCATGTAAGAAAGTCTTAGCAAAATCTTTCTTGGAGTGTCTATTACAGATTAGATTTAGCTCTGGTAACGGTTATTATGCTGAATATAAATGTGTGACAGTGGGGTTGGCCTAGGTTTCAGAAGGCCCTAGAACCAACAAAAATCAAGATCTAGACTTATAAGGATATTTGATTTTTGAAAATGGCCAATCTGAAAGACAAGAGGCAGTAGCTGACCTGGGAACATCGCGTTTCCACCCCATCCTGCTGTAAAAATAGCCCTTGTTATTCAAGGGAGCGTGATCATCTCTCTCTCACACACGCAGAACGGGTGCGAAGGAGTTGCTCTCTGTAGCCCACAGGACTATTAATAGCTTTCACTCATGGCACTTTTTTTTTTGTTTAGCACCTCAAAAGTGCCTTGTAACTGTCATCTCAACATGTCCTCGTAAATAATAAGTGTAGGCCCTTGTGGTCCCCATTTCGTCACAGACCCTAGGATCCCAGGGCTGTTGTGGTTCTGTGGAGGCTGCGTGCAATTCATTTTGCCAACTCCTCCCAAGATTGTGTTTACTTTAAGTATAAGGGGAAATGGTCACGGTGTTCACATGCCTCCCTTCCTCATCCAGTTAAGCCTTGAACCCACTCATCCAACGGGCTGGATGGAGATAAGACTTGAATGTGGGCGAGTCTCTTCAGCCACAGATCTAGCTTTGGGCAGATTGTTTTTTTTTTTTTTTAAGTATAAAAAAAAACAGAAAAGGCATTGATCTTTAGAAACTACGCTGGACTGGGGACAGTGCTTAAAGGTTGTATTGTGCATAACTAAAATCTGTGAAGCACTTTGTGCTAGCCGATACTCTGTTCTTATAACAGCCCTATCCCTGCTTCTGTTATTATTTCCACTTTCACATGAGAAAATCCAAGGAGCTTGCTCTTATCCATCGCAGTGAGGCTGGGACAGGGACCAGGAAGTGGAGCTTGAGAGAAGGGCTCGTCTTTCCGTCCCTTATTGTTTTACTTCTTGTGCTGTGAAATCCTGTTCCGCCATTAAGAGGCTCTGCCTCCTAGATGCCCAGTCCCAGCTGTAACACAGAAATCCTCAGTGTTCTGTCCAATGTGCCACCTGGGCTCTTTCCTCTCACGCTTTTCAGCAAATGGCTTGGAACAGAGTGTCTGAAGGCCTGGAGAGTACATTCCAGCAAGGGTACGGGAACCCGCATTACATAAATATGGGTTCTGAATGGGAAGCAACAAATTGAGAGACTCTGTTATGCACCGCTCCAAGGGTTACACTCTTGAAACACACAGAGGAAAAAAAAAGATGTTTCCTGTCCTCTGAGAGGAATCTAGAAATAAAAAATAATAATGACAGTGCCATGTGACTGGTGACAACATCGGAAGGTACTCTCCAGCATAAATAAATAATGGATTTCTGGTTAAAGATGACAAATCGAGCAAAACACACAAACCAAAAAACTCTGCTGCGTTCGAGATAAAGCGATATTAAAAGAATCAGACAAGAACTGACCAGACAAGTGAGATGACAGTGACTCTGACCAAAGCCACAAAGGTATGAGGCATGTGGGCATACGGTACCAGTGTTGGCAGGCATGAGGACACCTAACTGGCCAACCCCGGGAAGCACCAAGACACAAACCATAGCACAGCAAAAGGCTACACATGCCCAGCAATGATGTCACAAATGGAGGGTGAAAGTTGTGCTAGCCTCAGGGTGAATCCTTGAAAATCCCTTTAAGAAGTAGGTAGACCCTTCCCTCCGTCATAAACAAAGAGGCGCATACTCTGACCCCAGATTAGAACCACAGATTTGGTTATCGAAAGTAAAGCGTGGCACTGGTCAGCGGAGTCCAAGAGACTTCCAAAACAGTATAGGCTGTTGCTGTTGGTCGTCCCCGGGAAGTTTAAGGTAAATCTCTATTGCTAAAGACACCATGAATTCCGGACGCAAAACTTGGAGCGTTCGAGCTGGATAAGACCTGAAAGCCTGAAAATCAAGAGAGGACAGGAGCTCACAGAAGGCGACGACGAACAGAAAAACTAATTCCTCCCAAGAGGCATGAAGAGCCTTTAGTGGTGAAACAGTAATAGGATACCATAAAACAGAAATGTTCATGAGAGTGGAATGCCATTGTTAGAAATGAAAAAAAAATCCTGTTAGAAAATGAAGGTAGTTTTTCATCCAACAGGCGTTGTTAATTACCCACTTAATGTAAGAACAGACGTCATTCATTCTAGGAACACTTCAGTGAAAAAAGCAAATAACAGTGTCTTCTATGTTAGGGAGGCCCTTCCCTTTATCCCTTTATCTGTTTCCAAATTTCATCCATGAAAATAGTTTATTTGTAAAACATGTCTTAAATCATCTTGGCCCACTGGGGTGCTATAACAAAATGCTTCACAGTGGGTAACTTAAAAAAAAAAGCACAAATATGTTAAATGTGTTGGCCACAGTTGTGTAGGCTGGGAAGTCAAAGATGAAGGCACCCACAGATGTGGTAGGTTTGAGTGTTTGCTTTCTGCTTCAAAGGCGATACCTTCTTGCTGTGTTTTTGATAGACTAGGCAAACAACTTCCCACTGGCCTATTCTATAAGGTGCTAATTCATTCACAAGGGCAGACAAAACCCTCATTGCTCAATCACATCCTTAAAGTACCTTCCTCTTAACAGTATTGTGTTGCAGACAATGTTTCCCTGTGAACGTGGGATATGGGGTGTAGCATAATTAGAAAGCATTGTTATTACACACACACACACACACACACACACACACACACGCGCGCGCATGCACGCACACGCATGCATGGGAGAGATGTATTGGGAGCTTAGAAACAGCTCCGTGATGGAAAGACAATAGAAAACTTTAGAGGGGGTGAAGAGAAGTGTAGATGGGCTTTGGTGTAGAGCCTGGGAGATGTTATTGAGGGAAATACCCTGGCTTCTGGTAGACAAGACAGTGAATCTTTTCATTTATCATAATATAAGCAGAGTCTGGGATGGATCCGCATCTTTCTCCAACTTCTAAAATGCTCACTTGAGGGCATCTTCTCCTTGGCATATCTCTCTCCCTCAGTTTCTCCTCACTCCTAGCTGGGTGATTCACATTTAGAATCCTTTTGGAACATGGGGAAGGGTCTTGAAAGCCCTTAATTGAAACTTATCATTCCTCACTGAGATTTTGTTCTTATTAAGATAATGATTCATTGAAAATAAAATGACTCATTGTAGTAACAATTCAAGTAACAAATGTCAAACTTCAATGGATAATTAGGTAGTCCAGTATGAAAGAGCCACGTATTTTTGGAGCTGTCATTATTAATGGCTCGTAATATTTTACATGTACATTTTGCCTCTAAGCATACATCACACCTGTGAATGATACATTTTCACACACCCCATAATGACATTTTGGCTAGTGATGGACTGAATATACAAAGATAATCTCCCAGTGTTACATCAGGAGCTGAAAAATTCCTATTAACTGATGACAACATATTAATAATAATATTATATATAGTGCAGTCCATTACTCATGTTCATGGAGACACCAATATATACAAACATGCCAGTCATAAACAAGTGCAGCAATATACTTAGCTATATCAATCCTTGATAATAAACAGAATGCTACTGACTATATTATATCTATAATCATGATTTCGCAGTGTACTCCTATTTATAAAAATATATATTATAAAAACAGTAAATTTCATACCCAGAAATGGCTTGACTGGAGACTTTTTTTAAAATGTCAAATCCTATATTGTCCCGATGGATTCTGTTATTTCTGCACTACAACAATGGGTATACATGTTCTGAAGCTAAAGGAGACAGCTGGTAATGTTAAAAAGTCAGCCCTGGCCTTGCGATATTTCTGTATGAGCTCACATGTTTTAGTTTGAGGGGTTCAGGGGTATTCATTCAGTCTCATCTGCGGAAGTACATTAGTTTTTGTTAGCTTGAGTCTGTTTTTAAATGTTTTTTTTTGTACAAATTTGACAGATGATTAACTTAAAAGCAGGGCTACATTCGCATGTAAGAAATTCTAAAGTGTAGAAAGCTAGTGGTTAGTCACCATATTAGAAATTCTTCTCATCAGTGTGACCAGACCTGACAGAAATAAATTAGAGGAAGGATGGTTTGATTGACCTATGGTTTCAGAGGATCACAGAGGGGAAGGCATGCAATGTGGCTTGGTCTGTGGTGGTGAGAGCATGAGGCATTTGGTTCCACCTGGAGATCTAGACCAGCATTTTCGAAGGTTCATCCCTAACGACCTGTGTTTTTCAGTTAGATTGTGTCCCAAATATTTCACAGCCTCCAAGCAGTGCCCTCAGCTGGAGGACAGTGCATAAAGAATGAGTCTATGGGGGACATTTCAGATTTAAGTTTCAGTAGCCACTTAATGAACACATACCAGCTCTCAGCTCAAGGCTCGTAGTGTCCTAGACCCTATTGGACATCCAATGTTGGACATTCAAGGAACAAAACAAATGTGTTGTCTTGTCCTTCTGGAATTTCCAATATAGAGGAAATTGTTAAGCAATAATTACACACAGAGAGAGAGAGAGAGAGAGAGAGAGAGAGAGAGAGAGAGAGAGAGAGAGAGAGAGAGAGAGAAATCTTTTTCAAAGGGGAAGGTTAAAACTAAGCCATAAAGAATACTTGTTATTTGTCATTTTTCCCTTTTCTAAATTTAAATTAGAAACAAGCTTCTTTTACATGTCAATCCCAGTTCCCCCTCCCTCTTCTCCTCCCCTGTCCCCCACCCACACCCATTCCATCTCCCTTTTGCTCCCCAATGAGGGTGAGGCCTTCCATGGGGAATCTTCAAGGTCTGTCATATCTTTTGGAGCAGATCCTAGACCCTCCTCTGTATGCCTAGGCTGAGAGAGTATCCCTCTATGTGGAGTGGGCTCCCAAAGTCCATTCATGTACTAGGGATAAATACTGATCCACTAGCAGAGGCCCCATAGATTAACCAGACCTCCAAACTGACATCCTCATTCAGGTGGTCTGGAACAGTCCTATGCTTGTTTCTCAGCCATCAGTCTGGGATGTTATCTGCCATTTTGGTGGAAGAGAATAACTAGGGGAAAAATTAGGAGGTTGTAAGCTCTCAAAGAAATAGTATATTTCAATATTTCAAGGAGATGGCAGTTGACAGTATCCAACGTTGCTAGGAATATGTTATTCAGATTTCTGTAACCATAACAAAATATCTGAGATGAGCAATTTAAAGAAGAGGAAAGATTATTTTGTCTTACAGTTTTGGAGGTTTAGTCCATGGTTGATTGACCTATTGTATTTGGACCAATTGCCAGGTAGAGCATTATGCTTGGAGTGCCTTATAGTAGTTAGTAAAAGAGAGACAGGTAAGAAGAGCTCATGGTCATAGCATCCTCTTCAAGGGACAGATCCCCAATGACTGATATTCCTGGAGTTGTCAAAGCAGTTGTTCTCACCCTGCAGGTCCCAACCCACTGGTGATCTGTAACATGTACTCTTCCTGCCAGCTGCCTGGGTCCTGCCACTGTCTCAGCCCCCAAATAACACACAAGACACTATATTAATTATGAAGCTGTTGGCCATTTGCTATGGTTTCTTAATGGCTAGCTCTGACTTAATTATTTACCCATAATTACTAATATATATTTCTATAAGGTCTTATCTTACCGAGGACTCCAGACTTGCATCCTCTCCTCCTGGGAATCACATGGCAACTCTCCACCACATTTCCCAGAATTCTCCTCGAATCCTAGTCCCACCTATCTTGCTTCCCTATTGGCCAACAGTGATTTATTGATCAACCAGTTGTACAACATATACACAGAAGGACTTTCCCCCCAATCAGGTGGTCACATATCAGATGTTTACATTTTGATTCCAAGCAGTAGCAAAATTATAGTTGTGAAGTGGCAATGAAACAATTTTATGGTTGGGGATCACCACAACGTGAGGTCACAGCATTAGCTAGGTTGAGAACCGCTGTTTTAAAGGTTTCACTATCTTCTAATAGCACTGTGAGTTGATGGCCAGTCTAGCCCATGGGCTTTTGGGGACACTTATTCAACACAAGAAGAGCTGATTGAGTGCCACTTAAAAGAAAGCCATTGGAGATGCCAACACGGAAGACACTGCTGATCTTAACAAAAAGTATCAATAGTGGATGACAGAGCCAATCCAAGTGGGAGGAGCAGGCAGAATAGAGGAGATG